AGGCTTAAAGCCGAAATGGCGGCTGAGAGCGCAGGGCTGCGCAGGGCAGCGCAGGGCAGGCCCCTGCTTCTTGCCGTCCCACAAAGACATACGCTGTGCGCGTGCACCCAGCGTGGGTGAGCGGGCCTGTTTCCCCATAAGGTGGTTTTCACCGTTTCCTTCTAACAGCCCGGGGCACGCGGGCAGGGGATCATGGAATGGTTTGGGTTGGAAGGGACCTTTTAAGATCAAGTCCAACCATTAACCTAACACTGCCAAGTCCCCTGCAAAACCACATCCTTCAGCACCATATCTACACGTCTTTTAAATACCTCCAGGGATGGTGACTCAACCCCTTCCCTGGGCAGCCTGTCCCAATGCTTGACACCCCCTCGGTAAAGAAATTTTTCCTAATACCCAATCTGAACCTGACCGGCACAACTTCAGGCCATTTTGTCTGGTCCTATCACTTGCTGCTTGGGAAAAAAGACCAACCTCCACCTTGCCACAGCCTCCTTTCCGGTAGTTGTAGAGAGCGATAACGTCTCACCCTGCCAAAACCCACCCCACCGCTTGGGAAGCAGAGCCTCTGCAGTCACCATCTGCCCAGGAAGATGGACTCCAGCTTGCTGCTTACCACACATTTCCAACAGGTCATCATTTTTATTTTTTTTTTTTAAACAAACCCAGACTCCCTATTTATGAAGGAATGGCACAAATCAATGAGACATAATTTAGTTGCATAAACATGAGTGACTAAGTGCTATGCGAGATGCTGTGAGACAGCTAAGCAACGTACGTGGGTCTGGAGAACATGGCACATGACCTACAGGAAACCTGCCTACACTGTCAGCTTGTGGTCACATGGGTGGATAAGTCCATGGATGGGTGGGTGAGTGTGTCCATGGATGGATGAGTACATGGGAGGACGGATGGATGTGGGGTCACAGAGCAATTAACTGTAATAGAAAACAGACAGAGCATTTAACTACAAGACTAGAAGGTAGACGGAGCGTTTAACTACAAAATTAGGAAGTAGGCAGAACAATTAATTATAAGAATAGAAGATAGATTGGAAAGGAGTGAGTGCCAACTTTACCTGTCTCCAGCAACCTAAAGTAACCCAAGCCTAATTTGCATAGTAAAAATCACACTTCTGGGAAGAGGTCTTATATGCTGTCATGGTTTGGGCTGGACTGGGCACTGAATGAGTGACAGATGCTCTCTTTGACCTCTCTCCCTTCAGAGAAAGAAGAGCATCTCCCTTCAGAGCAGAGGAGAGAGAATGAGAGGAAGAGAGAACTTAAAGGTTGAAAAAGAAACTAAACTACTTTAATGAAATATTAATATTAAAAAGAAAATATAATATATTAACAAGAAAATAATTAAATATATACAATATATACAAAACTATCGAGCTCCCAGGATGATGATCGCGTCACCAACAGGCACCGGGAAAGTCACAGACTGGACTCAGCAACAGATGGGAGCTGAAGTCAGGAATTGGATTCAGGAATGCAGGGATCGCAGACGAACAGAGTCCTCCTCGGACGCCGACCGTTGAAGAAAGAGGCTGACCCCTTTTATCCCTCAGCTTTTATACTGAGCATGAGGCAGATGGGATGGAATACCCTGTTGGTCAGTTTGGGGTCACCTGTCCTGTCCGCTCCTCCTTGCAGGTGCGACCCTGCTATGGTTTTCCGCTTCCAGCCCTCCAACGGGGCAAATACCAAAGTTAGCTGCCCTTGGGTGTTATAGCAATAAGTATACACAGGAGCCTCTCTGGGTACCATGCCTGGGCATCAACTATAAACATGAAGCCTTATCACTCTGGTAGCAGACACTGTCTGAAGAATATGCCATTAATTTCATAGAGTTAGTTAGGTAGAAGCAGCTCAGCTGCAAAGTAAAATTCCTGAAAAGAAAATTGGTTCTGTTTTACCTCAAACCAGGACACACGCTAATGTTAGACTGCCTTTGTATAATGACCTGGAATTAGTTAGCACATGTGCTGTAGTTTGTAGTTATGTAGTGTCTTGAACAATAGCTAATTAATCAATGAACTTTTTTCCTGATAAGCTAAACGTATACAAGTCGGTTGTGCCTTGTGTGGGCATGCTAGCTTTGTGAATGATCGCCTAGAACCCTCTTCTGCACAGAACTGAATAAAGTTCCAAATGTAGAATCTCAACACTGTGGGTGGTAATTGGCTGTTGCACACCAGGCTCAAACCCTGTTAAGGGACAAGCTGGAGGTTATGCTGGATACCCTACAGCATCCCAAAGAGTAGTAGGCATGTGAGTTAGACAACTGAATTGACCCTTTAGCGTCATCTTAGGGGCTGTGGGGTCTGGGTCATGCTTGGCTTTCAGCTGCTGCTTTAGGAGAGTGTGAGTCTTCTCAAATCCTGGGTTGACCCTATTGCACCTTAGCTGACATCTCCAGTACTTTAGAACATCTCGATAGAATCTGAGGCCCTGTGCCAGGAAGCTGAATCCTTTTTCTAGTTTACAAGTAGCTATCTGCATGCAGACACCTGAATTCAGAGGTCCAAGTCTTTAACGGGATGATATTCTCAGTATTCTCAGTATCCAGGAACTATTTAATCAACTGGCATCCAAATGGGAAAAGTTTTCCCTTTCTTCTCCCCATCAGCATGGGGAGAAGAAAGGAAAATATGGAAAGTACTGATGTGTCTTTACATGATTGTTTACTGATAAATATTTAAGGCATACCAAAGCACATCTCTTGAATATGCTGTCATCCTGCACTAGTCCTCAGTTTATATCAGTGAAAAAAAGAGCTTTGAGTTGCTGTAGTGGGCACAGGAGGCAGTTGTCCATTCTGTGCTCGTTTGCTTTTCATGTCTGCTTTGCCCACTGTACAAATGAGGAGAAGTGTGTGATGGGCCAGCAGATCCTCAAGTACAGTTCTTAAATAATCTTATACTATTTTGCAGATAACACATCAGAGCTTCTCACTGTAGCCACAGGAGGCAGTTGTCCATTCTGTGCTTGTTTGCTTTTCGTTTACCATCAGCAGATTCCTCATACTTGGGTTCACTGCAAGTGAAGGATGCAGAAGTTGCCAAGTACGCACAGGAGAAGGCCTGCCTCCATCCCATGCGTGACTACCCTCCAGATATGGGCTCCCACATTCCGAGAGAACCCCAGTTTCAACACTGGGACTGTAGTTGCATGCCCCCACCTACCTCTCAATTTCCTGCTGCTCATCCCCTCATCCTGCTGTTCCTGCTGCTGCTGCCAACCTCCTGCCCGCATCCAGAGACTCACCCACCTGCTCCAGTGTTTTAAAACAGACACCAGGTCTCACCTGGCATAAACTCCCACCACTTGAGAAACCAGGACTGCAGTAACCTTCAGCTTGTGCTAACCACTGTGTGGAAATAATGACTTTGAAGCAATAAAGAGAACAACACAGGAGGTCACCATCAATCCAGCAGCTGCAGCAAGACCACAGCTGTTGTGCAGAGGTGCTACTTCACATTGCAGATGCTAGTGGCTGCTGGCCCTACTCTGTTTCTTTTATGGCTTAGTTAAGTACAGTATAAAGGCAGAACCAGGAGCTGCTGCTACCACACAACACTTTGAAATAGTTTGTACTTTATAGTCTGAGAGCCCCTGCATAGTATGTCACACCTTTGCACTTGGGAGTGCATAAAGCAGATCTAGTTATGTTCCCAAGAGTTGCAGTAGCAGCACAGTGAGACACTGAGTATGGCAAAGATTTTGAATCCTGCACATAATGATAGTCCCACTCCTTAAGACTGTGCCAGAAATAAATATTCCATATTTTTAAACTGAAAGAGTAAATCAATGCTCTGAAAAGTTACAAAGTGTCAGAATTGAAGTTACCCGTGCCATGACATCAGCCACAGCCGTGACAGCTTTCACAGAATATTTTTCTGATATACTTGAAAGAACTGTTACAAACATTACATTCAATATTGTAAAACATACAGGCAAGAAGAAGTAGTGATGATGTACGTAATTTTTAAAAGATGTCATCAATCATCAATACCCCAGTGCAGCAAGAGTAAACAGTGTCTCTGTGTCATTTTTATTATTATTTTTTCACTGTAGTGAGATACCTACATGACTTTTCAGAGTCTGAAGTGAAGGTCAGTGAAGCAAGGGTGTCACACCTACTAGGAAGAGGACGGATGAACAGGCAAAGTAGACATCAGTAAGAGACAGTATTCAAGTGCAACAGTGTATATAAATCTGATTTTTGCTGTAAGACGTTGTCTCTCCCCAACTCTGAGAAAAACATTGCACTGCCGACCTTAAAAACCATCTAGCATGTCTAAAAGCTTGTACCTTTTTTCTGACTTCAACAGATAGTCTAATAGATGTCACTTCTGCCTATGAACTTTCTCACCCGTACCTTCAGTAGTTACAACACCGAATCCCACAAAAGTTCACTAGAGGGAGCGCTTGTTATTTACATATATATAATAGGTCTATTCATAAACACAATTAAAATAGGCTACAAACAGC